CTCTTACTGTCCCGTGTTCTCAGAAGTCCACCCCGTCTCCGGTCTGTTGCTGGGCCCTCTGTTCTGCTCCACTGGAGGTTTGTCATCCCTGCGTCCGACCCCCTGCGCTGATTCCTATACTGTGGGTACAAGTCTCCATGCCTGCTGGGACGTCGCCTCCCGCAATTCTTTCTCAAAATTCAGGGATCTTTTTTATGCTTCTCTCTGGGCTCAGCATCTTGTTAGAGTAGGCAGCTGGACAGGCGTGAGCGGGGAGGGGTAGTGAGGGCCTGGAGGGGGTACATGGGGACGTGACAAACCAAATCTAGTAAAAAACAGCAGACCCGAGTGTGGGGGGGACCTAAAACCCGTCCAGCGTGTGGTCCGATAGCACAGCATCGGGGTAGGGCAGCCTTGCAGCTTAAGGAGATACTATTTTTTGAGACATGAGAGAGGGGGTGACTTGCTCCTTGCCTAGGGGCGTGCCAGCCCCGGGGCACAGATCCTCTGAACTCCCAAATAAGCAGAGCGCTTGGTTCAGCGTTGGCAGGCCGAGCGCCCCGCTGAGGCGGCCGTCTGAGTNGCATCGGGGTAGGGCAGCCTTGCAGCTTAAGGAGATACTATTTTTTGAGACATGAGAGAGGGGGTGACTTGCTCCTTGCCTAGGGGCGTGCCAGCCCGGGGCACAGATCCTCTGAACTCCCAAATAAGCAGAGCGCTTGGTTCAGCGTTGGCAGGCCGAGCGCCCCGCTCAGGCGTCCGTCTGAGGGTGTTCCTTTTCTGCAAATAAACTCTCACGCGCTTTCGCTGCAATTTGCTCTTGTCTCTTGTTTGGGTTCATTCCTACAAGCAGGGCAAGAGCCGGGGGCACACAGACCATCTCTGGCCCAGAGCCCACCTCTGTCTGCTTCTGACGACATCAAGACCCATCCTGCTGGGATGGTCACTGGAGAGACCGAGTGTATGTTATTTTGAGACTCATAAACATAGCCTACCGAGTAGGGCATTCTTCTGTGTCCTTTACTGAAGTTTTATAATTTTCTCTATAAAGTTTGTACACATATTTTCTTAAATTCATTCCCAGGTACCTTATAGTTCTTGCTGCTATTGTAAGTGGGAGTGGTTTCTGTTTTATTTTTATAGAATTTTAAAACCCATATCCCCAGGATATGTTCATTGATTTTAGAGAAAGAGGAAGGGGGAGAGAGAGAGAGAGAGAGAGGGAGAGAGAACCACTGACCAGTCGCCTCTCCTGTGCACCCGACCAGAGCTCGAACTCGCAACCAGGTATGTGCCCTGGCTGGGAACTGAACCCGCCACCTTTTGGTGCACAGGGCGATGTGCCCACCAGCTGAGCTACGCGGCCAGGGCATCCGGTTGGTTTTTAAACTGCATTTGCCGCTAGTCTTTGATGTTTTATGTGAATGCTAGTCATTTTAATTTTTATTAATTAAATGTGGACTGAATAATATATATAACTTCCTAAAGAGTAACAAAATACTGAGCCATCCCCCAGTTTAAGGAAAAATCATGCTTTTATTTTCAAAGTCCTCTGTATTGCCCTCCACAAGCCATCTTCTTTCTCCACTCCTCGGGGGGCTAACTGCTGCCCTGAATATTATTTTAAGGACTTTCTTGAACTCCTTTAAAACTTTATCCCATGTGTTTCTCTCCCCCCAGATATATTTTATGCTTTGCCTGGTTTTGTTTCTTTACAGAAATGACATCATTCCAAATGTCTTCTGCTCCCCAATGCTAGGTACCTGAGGCTCAGCCATGAGATCTGTGCCTGAAGCTTCAGCTCATCAATCCATCTGTCCTTGATGGGCGTCTGCTTCTTTCCAGTCACGTGCTGTTGTGAACATCTGGTCTTGAGCATCCTTAGATGTATTTGCTGGGGTACATGAGCAGGCGTTTCTCTGGGGCACATTCTAGGGTTAAAACTGCTGGGTCATGCCCGGCCGGCGTGGCTCAGTGGCTGAGCATGGACCTAGGATCGTGGTTTGATTCCCATCAGGGCACATGCCCAGGTTGGGGGCTCAGTCCCTGGCCGGGAGCGAGCAGGAGGCAGCCGCTCAACGATGACTCTCTCATCGTTGATGTTTCTATCTCTCTCTCTCCCTCTCCCTTCCTCTCTCTGAAATCAATAAAGATAAAAAACAAACCCCAAAGCCAAAAAAAACTGGGGAAAAAAACAAAACCCTGCTGGGTCATAAAGTATAAACATCTTCAGATTTACTGGGTAACCCCAAATCATTTTCCAAGTTTTCGCACCACCCCCAGCGTTATGTCAGTTGCCACGTGTCCTCACGTATGCTTGATAGTGTCAGATCAGAAAATATTGGGCATATTTATGGTATAAAAGGTTATTTTAATTGAAGCTTCACTCTTGAACCTATAAATGGAGATAAGCTGTCCTAACCCACCCATCCCATTCTCCAGTGTTGGCATAAGAGCTAAAGTTAACAAGGGGGAATACAGATGTGGAAATATTTTGTAAATTGCTCAGTTCTCCTCACACTGAGGATGTTATCATCACCGATAAATTAAGAGTATTTTGGACCATCAGTACACAATGTCAGGGCTCAACTCCAGACCCTTCCTCGTTAGAGCTGAGCGATTTCCAAACTCAGAACGTCTGCATAACAGGCCAGAGGCAGGGGGTCCACTGCTGGGACAGTGACCGTGACCTGAGTCCATCTTCCAAATAAGGAACATCTTCCAATTTCATGGACCTGGGTTGACAGAGGAGCCCTGGGATCAAGACGAAGTGAATTTACAAGCAGTAACCCACAGCACGTTCCCTTGTCTTTGTGTGGCTGCCAGAAAATTCTGAAAAATAAATCGAGCTGCGTCTTAGGAACTTCATTGCAAATGTTTTAGAAATGCACATCCAATGTCCAGATGATTCCCAGGATGCCTTTGGGGTGCAGGACTGTAAATCTGAGTGAGGCCGCTGACTTGGCCATTCTCTGCAGAACTGTGCTCTATTTTTCTATCTTTTCCCCTTTTCCTCCAACATTTAATCGATTTCAGGCCACTTCCTCACTCTATCCTGCGAGTTGTTGACCTGACTATCTACAGACCCGAACATTCTGCAAATGCAGGAGGCAATTTCTCATTAGTAGCGCTTTCCCAAACTGACTGGGCTTAAAGGATGAGGATTTCTGCCTAATGATGCTCAGCTGGGTTAAATCGCCCCCGGGCGTGAAGGTGCCAAGCTGATCTTAGCGGTCAAGATGCTCCAAGACAGCCAGACTGACGATGAAGCTTTGAGATGTGCTCCGCAGGGAACGCTGAGGGTTTCGTTCAGGTCTCTGCTGCTGGCTGCGGCCCAGACAGTCTTGTGTTATGGTCGGAGCACTGGGAGGACAGACACTCACAAGATGTGTGCCTGTGTGTGTGAGTTACTGAGGTTTTGAAGTTGACCAAACCAGCAAGGATCAGCATTTCCTGGAAGCAGGAAGCAGGCCGCTGAGCCTACGAGTATGCGAGTGTGTGCAGACAGTGTGCATTCTATGAAGAAAGAAAGGGCACGGCCCCCCGGAACTGCAAGACCTTAACTGTGGAGTTTTCTTGGTCTTTCCAGTAAGCAGTGTCCAGTATTTATAAACATCCAGTTACTGAGCATCTACTGAGTGTCAGGCACAGTACTGGGCACGGACAAGAAGGCATGACCTCCGCCTTCCTGGAGTCTGTAGTCCAGGGGGAGACACACGACAGGCAGGCAAACCAGTGAACTGGTGATCAAGCGCTGTGTGTCGGAGGATGCTTCACAGAGGCTGCTGCTGATGGCTGGTAAATAAGGGATTTGTAGACTGTACGGTAAATGGGATCATGGGCCCCTTCCCATGTTCCAACCCCCCCCCTTCCCTGAGGGCAGATAGCCAGGGCCATCTGTAAGCGGACTGAGACTTGGGAATCTGGCCAGCAACTCTGTCCAACCAAGAAAGGCCAAAGGGAAACTGCTTCTAGCTGTGACCTGGATTGTAAACAGCTAGTGTTTTGATCTCACACAGCTTGCACATGTGCCTCTCCCCCCGCATGCCCTGTTTTTCTGTTTTCTGCACTCTCTAAAACCTTGTGCTGGGACGGTCGGGGAGCCGCAAAACACTAGCATGAGCCGGCCTGCAGAATCCACAAACGATAGCTGAGGTTTTCTGGGACCTCAGCCCTTTGTGTAACAGAGACCAAGGTGAGAAGCTCACAGTCCATTCCGAGTGAAGCCAGAGGACGTTGTTCAGTAGGTGGACGACATGCCCTGATGGACGTTTGAAAGAGAGGGTCCCGCTGCCGGAGGAAACTGGGTGGGAGCAGCAGCATTGGGAGCCGACGGGGGTACCTGCTCCAGCAGCCCGGGGCCCGGTGCGGCGATGCTGCGGGCTCGCGCTTCTAAACGGAATAAAATCCTGACGAGGCCTCCTCATCAGTCATCCGAGAAGCCAGAGGCATCTGAGATCAAGGAGGAAACGCACGGCCCATATGTACTGAAGGGAGTAAAAGAAACAAAAACCCTAACGTCCCACGCGACCTGTTTTCAACAACCCAGTCGCTTGACGGAGGTTTCTTGTCAGGGTCAGGAGTTAATGAAACAGGCTGCTTCACCCGCGGAGAGCCGCGTGGGGCGTGGGGCGAGCGCGGGCCTGGGAGCCCCCGAGGTCAGCCCGCTTACCAGCTGCTGACCTTCGGCAGTCACTTCACCTACAGGAGCCTCGGGCCCCTACGACGCCCGTCCCCGGGTTAGTTATGAGGACCCAATGGCCTGATGCTTGTGGTAGGGACCAGGTACTATACTGCCCGTGGGTCCCATGCCAAGTGCAGTATGTCCCCAGACCCAAATCGGAGCATCTCCCAGGGCCTTGAGGACAGACATTCAAGCAGGTGGGTTGAAGGAGACCCAGAAACACCTGTGCTCGGCGGGAAACGGGAGGGAGGTGCATCTTGCTAAGAGCAGCGGCTTTTGGAAAGAGTGTCAGACAAGCACTGATGTCCACCCTCAAAAACTGCAGGACGCGCACGCCTCACTGGAAAGATCGTCTTTATTTGCTTTGCATCACCTGCCGTTGAAAGCAGTTCCCGTCAGCGCTGTGTAATTACAGGCCTTGCAAATACATCTTATAGGCGGTAACATTTCCTTAAAGACAAAAGCAACTCTGGGAAAGTTTGTGGTGGGAGCGGGCATAAGGCGGGGGGCTGGATAAACGTAAGCAGGTTCCTACGGAGAAAGGAAAACGGCCCGGCGGCCCCACTCGAGGAGCACCACGCACGCGGTCCTTTGCTGGCCCTGCAGCTGGCTGTCGGGAGAGGCGCTGGTCCCCCTTTCCTGCTCGTGAGCGAATGAATACGCCTGCGTGCGGCCTGCTGAGCGGCCCGGGGAGGGACAGCGGGCTTCTCACTAGGCTCAGGCCAGCTCCAGCGTCTGGGCGCAAGCCTGCTGTCCAGAGGCGGAGAGGCACATGACAGTTTGAGATGCTACCGTGGACGGGGAGACCTGAGGGGACACGGCTGTAGCCCACTGTGCCCAGGCAGCCGGCCTAATTCAGCCCCCTGGGCGCTGTCTCCGGTGTGGCCGCCTCAGCCCCGATGGTCTGGCAGGACCGTGGTCGCCGGGATCGGGTATTCCAAGGCATTGCAGTCATCCGACAGGAACACCAGGTCCTGAAAAAGATGTGCGGGGAGCAGGGCTGTCGCTAAGGTGGCCCGGAGCCCGGCACGAGGACGGGACCCCTGGTTACGCTCCAGGACTGTTCAGCTGTCCCCCTGGGTGAGAACTTCCTGTCCCTTCCTCCCCCCGGGAGAGCCAGTCACGCCTTCACTTCCCATGGAGTCTCAGATGTTCTTTGTTATTTATTGAATGTCATACGGTGGTTGGCGGATGGATAGATGGGCCGGGCATGAATGACGAATGAACCTTAATTACCGAGCAGCAGCTCTGGGCCGGGCAGAGGGCCACCACGGGAAGCAGCCGGGGCTCGCCCCCCAGGGCTGTGGAGGCCGTAACCCCGCTTACCTGGCTGTATTATTTATGTCTTCTTCCTGTCTGTCTGTCTGTCCCCAGACTGAGGGGACAGGGGAGTGAGGAGGTAAACGGGTGTGGGGAGGAAATGGGTGTATGAACAAATAAACTACCACTTAACCGCTGATTATGCCAGTTTCCCGAGGACTTACCCAGGGCCAGGCCTGCGGCCAGGGGCGCTGGTTTAGTCACCTCCTGGGCTCGCAGGCCCAGGGAGTTACCGAAAGCCCGGGCGCACGGTCAGGGTGTAATTGGCATTCTCCCAGTGATCTCAGGACAGTCACTATCTGTCCCCGGGTCACAAATGAGGACCCTGTGGCTCAAAGAGGTGAGGGGATGCGCCCACCTGGGAGGCAGGACCTCAGGTGTGCTGGGGCTGAGGCCTGCGCCCCTCGGATCACATGCAGGCTCTACTTCTCCGCGCCACACCTAGCGCTGAGTCCCTGCCTCTGTCTCCTCGCCCTCTTCTGCCTGTCACAGGGCACAGCCGAGCCCTCACCTCTGGCCTCCTCTGACCCGGGATGGGGCTCCCGGAGTCCTCAGAATCCACAGCCCGCCCCCCACCCCGGCCCGTCTGGCTCCTGCGCTTAGCATGGGGTCAGTCCTGGGTGTTGGCCCCACATCAGCGTGGAGCTCGAGGAGGCGATGGGGCTTGTTCTGAGTTCCTGTCACTCACCAAGGGTGACAGTGGTTGTGGAAGGACTTGGGGAATGGGAAGCACCCCGTAAACTTTTTCTCCTTGCCCTCCCCTTCGCGTCTCGGCTGACACACAGAGATGGAGTTTCGGTGACGTCACTTACTCTCCTGCAGAACGAGTTCATGATGGTGTAGAGCTTCCGCACCTTGTCCTTCAGGACGTCCACCTGGGCCACTTTCCAGCAGTGGGGCGATGCCACGAAGTCCCGCAGCTGGGCCAGCACGCAGTAGTTCTGGGAGTGGACATCAGGGGGCGCTCGTGGGAGAGGCCGGCGGCCAGAGAGTCGGGAGCTGCAGCTCCCCAGACCCTCTTCTCAGATCTGCCCCCCCACCTCCTCCAGGCAGGCGGCCCCTTCTTACGTGTATATCCAGGTACAGCCGGGGCAGGTATCTCACGCACGGCTCCTGCAGGAAGGGCAGCGGGCTGCTGTGATGCCCACAGGAACAGCCCTCCCCAGCCTGGCCACAGCGGGCTCTCTGCCAGCCCTCCGGCAGCCAGACCAGCCCCAGGTCCCCGGCGCCTTGTGCTTTGGCTACACTCCTTCAGAATCCGAGTTTCAGAGGGTAAGCCCTATCGTTAACAATGAGTTAGGGAACTGCATATATGTGTGTATATATATATATATATACACACACACACACGGATATGTATGTCTATAGCCACACCCGTAAGTACACATATATATGTATATATATTTAAAGTTCTATGACTGTAACCTAGATATAGCAATATATATATATATATATATACACACACACACAGTGTAGTGTAGCATATGAAAGTGCTCATGTACGCATACTTGATATCACTGTATTTTACTTTTTGTGCAGGACTGAAGCCAGAGACCCAGATTCTGGTCCTGCTCCACCAGTGTGGGGTTTATGGTCCCCTAACACCTTCTTTGAAATTCCCTGTGTGATCCTGGGCAGGTCTCCTTCTATGTGACTCAGTTTCCCAGTTGTGAAATTAGAGAGTGAGAATACATAATCCCTCCACTTCTGTCCAGCTCTGCAATTATGAGCCTATACATTCTTTTACATTTTAAAATCAGATTCCTTTAAAAGATGTTTGCTCTACATATGTAATACCAAGGAATCTGTGGATAAATTATGGAGCAAACACACAACAGAATGTTACAAAGGAATATTAGTATATGTAATGGTGTCACTAAAAAGTAAATTGCAAAACTGCTGTGCTATTTGATCCAATCTGCTTTCATACATGCACACACACACATGCACACACATGCACTTGCAAATGCACACACAGGCATGCACACACATGCACTCACACAAGTACATGCACACATACACATGCACTTGCAAATGCACACACACTTACAAATGCATATACTTGCTTGCACACACACAAGCACACACACACATGCACACATACACATGCACATACACATTCACATGCACACACAAGTGCATCAGATGCATGCACACACGTGCACACACACGTGCACACACACGCACACGCGCACACACACACACTTGGACACCTCTGCATAGATGGAAAGCTGAAAATAGCCTCCAGGATGTTATGGCAGCAGTTACCTCTAGGGGGTAGAATTGCAAGTAATATTTATTTTCTTCTTTGTCCTTGGTGCATTTTCCAAACATTCTGCACAGTATATGACTTTCATAATTAGAAGAAAGTAAACACTAGTTAACTTTTAAAAGAAAATACAACGAAGGTGTCTAGGTACCATAACCCCACATCTGAAAAACATCACATTTTGTTTGAAGTGCTTACAAGTTTAGGTAGAGACACTTTTACACTTCACCAAACCTCTTAATGGAGTTTATCATTCATTTCGTTTCTGCACTGCAGTCAGGAGGCCGGGTTCCAGTTCTGGGCAGCCCCTCGGTCTGATGTGAGCCCTGGGCCCTCCTCGTAAAAGAGTGATAACAGCGGCTGCCACTCCTGGGGTCCCCATGCAGGCCTTGCTCTGCCTGCTGGATCTGTTCCCTCCTCTAACCCTCACAGCTGCCCGAAGCGGGTGAGAGGGGGTGCTCAGCCGCCCCTCTCAGAGCAGGACACTGAGATCAGGGGCTGAGCTCCTCGCCAGGTGCCAGGCAGGTAGGCGTGGAGGGCAGTTCCCGGAGTCACCCCCGTAGCACACGGCGAGGGCAGAGAATGAATCAGCCGCAGTCCGCTCCTCCTTAACTCCAGGGGAGTTCTAGACCCTACTGGGAGGTTTTTTCTTCCTTTTCTACATTTTACAACAGATCCTCTGATATTTACTAGCAAGTTACAAGCAGAAGTTGTGAAGTCTTTGGTTATGTTTCTTTGTACTTAAAAGAAAGCACAAACCATTGGTATCGTATTTAAAAGGGCGGGAGTAAAACACAAATACCCTTAAGAGGAACAATGGCCGGAAAAGAAAAACAGCATTCTTTTTTTGGTTCAAAGGCAAGTTATTGGGAATCGGGTCTGCATCGAACCTCCTGGTCTGCAGCCGGCGGGGCGGGGGGGACTCACCGAGGGCTCCATGGCCTGCAGGCTCTGGAAGTCACCGGTGATCTCCCGGCTCAGGCCCAGCATCCTGGAGTAGCAGGTCGGGGGCGCAGGCCGCACGGCTGGGGGCCCGGCCAGGAGCAGCAGCAGGGTCAGCAGCCAGGGAGTCATGGTGCAGAGGGACCTCCTGCAGCCGCAGGCCGATGCCCCTTTAAGCGGCTGCTTGGGGGTGGTCCTCCACGCCTCCGTTTCCTGTGGGGCCCAGCCAAGGCCGGGGAGCACGCCCACCTGGGCAGGACACTGGATCCTTTCAGACCTGAAGGCCCCCCTTGGCGGGAGGAGGGGCCGCCTGGGGGTGCGCAGGGCGCCTGGAAGGGAAGCAGGGCCGACCTCTGCACGTTCCAATAGAAGCCGCTCCCTTGAGGACTTTGCCTGAAGGGGCAGGACCCGCAGATGAGGGGGACAGAGGACAGAGGGAGACAAAGATGGGTGAGGGGGGCTCATCAGAGCCAGGAGTGGGCAGCCTCAGATCGGGGACCAGGAATAAAACTGGCTGATTTCCTGGAGCAGAGCTGGGGGAGGAAAAGACCAGAAGTGATGGGTTGAGCAGCAGTGACCTGGGGCTTGGGCTAGGCAACTGGGTGCCGACGTCCACCCACACTGACCGGCCAGGGGAGCCTTGGGCGGTCACCTACGCTCTGCACAGCTGTGTCTGTGCATCTGGAAAGCGGGCGGGTGCTGGCACCTGTGGTGGGGATGGGTGAGCATTCCCCAGCTAGCCCACTTCAGGCTCCCGGCGCAGGGCCCCCCCGCACAGAGCAGACCTGAAGCAGGTCACGGGGGCTCTGCCCAGCCCTCTCCTGAGCCAGGTGCCAGCTAAGGGAATACATCGTCTCCGTTAGATGCTCAGTGGGTGGAACGTATGGTCACTCAGAGGTGACCCAGAACTTGCCCAGAAACTTGGGCAAGTTTCTTAGCCCAGTCCCTCTCCTTATAGGTGACCTGGGGGCGATGAGAGCACCCTGCTGGCTCAGAGGTCGTGGTGAGGAGTGAGAGACGCTGAGCTGATGTCAGAGCTGATGTCACTGTCGCCATTCCTGCAAATGTCCCCATGCCGCAGGGGCCTCAGAAAATCCCCATATTCCAGGGGGGAAACTGAGGCTCAGGCAGTTCCAGCAACTTGCCCAGTGTCACCAAGCTGGAGGCAAATGGGTGCCACTGGACTCTGTGCCTCATCTTATCTTCCTTCCATCTCCCCCCTCCCCCCCGCCTGCCCTGCCCCCGTGAGGGACCAGGAGGAGCAGCACTTTCGGTGGAGATGAGTTTGGGCCCCTGGGCTGCCCGAGACAAGGGAACAAGCAGGGGGAAGGGGAGGGAGAGGGAGGGTCTTCCTTAATGCCGAGCATCACTTAGGCTCCAGCAGTGATGCGTGAGCATCTCTCGGGCACCAGGGATGCAGCAACTGCACAGCTCTCGTCTGAGCTGCAGAGTCAGCGAAGTGGGCGCGTCGTTTCCATTTCCAGAGGAGGAAGCTGAGGGTCGGGGATGTGAAACTGCCTGAGGTCACAGGCTGAGGAGGAGACGGGCGAAGCTCTGGACCTGTGTCTGCCTGTCTCCCGAGCCTCTCTCACTGCAAGTGAGGGCAGAAGGGGGCAGGTGAGGCACATGCCCCAGAACTGAACAAGCGAACATGAGGAGCGGGGGTGAGGGAAAGGAGTGCAGGGTCCTGGGCATGGGGTGGCACGGGACCAGCCACAGTGGTGAAGCCCTGGCTGCAGCCTGCCCCTTGCTGTTTGCCTGGTCCCTGTACCCACCCCTGTCCATAAGCAGTAACGTCACCCTGGGCAGTGCCAGCAGTCCCTCCAGTACTGCTGTTCCATTGGTCAGGTTTTCTGCTGGTGAATCCCTGGTCAGGGGCACAGCCACGCCTTCCTGTTTTGCAGGTGGGTGTGTTCTCGAAACACCTCCGGGGGGTGACCTGGGACTGTCTCCTGGGACCCTCTCAGGGCAGACTGGAGGGACAGGGGCACACAGAGATGTTTTCCTTCTAGATGAAGGAGTCTCCTCCCTCCCTCCATCTGTGGTGGAGCCTGGGCGTGGGCCTCCCTGGCAGACCAGCGGAGGGGGCCCAGCCAGGGTCGCTAGGTCCCCTTTGAAATGCTCCAGGGCTTCTAGATGTGTTCATCGAATGAGCATCACATTCGAGACGGAAGGAAAACAAGCCCAGGCACCAAGTCCTGGGACCATTCAGATCCAGGATGGTCCCCAGGCTGGAAACTGGGACCTGTCTGCTCCTTTGAAGTTGCGATAATGTGTCTCCATAGACCAGACCCTGTGCCATCCGGCTTGCCTTGTGATCATGCTTCCTCACAGCCTCATCCCAGGTCGGCTTGCATACCTCCTTCGATGGGGAGCTCACTGCCCCCTACAGCCGCTCTCCAGTCTTTGTGCAGCTCTGACTGACACAGATTCTCCCCAAGGTGCAGGTGACACGTGGGGACTCCCCACTGCCGCCATCCTTGGCCGAACCCTCCTGTGCCTCCTTCCACAGGACAGGCCTGTGGTGACTGTAAGACCACGATCATCCCTCATTCTGTCACCACCAGTCCCCCCATGAAACGGACTCGGCTCCCTTTCGGAGCAAACATCCCCATTTCCTGAAACCTTGTCCGTGGGAAGTGGCTTTAAGACCCTTCTCCACAGTCACGTCACAGTCACGGCGCCTGCCCGGAGCCCCGTCCCCTCCCCGCAGCCGGTTCCAAAGCAGAAGCCCGCCCTTGCCGGCCGGGGCAGACTCTCCCTGCCTCCCGAGGCCTGGGAGGTGGGCTGAGGTCTGCAGCCGGGTCCCGGCCCAGCTCCCAGCCACCCTGAGCCGTCCCCACCTGCGCTCCTCCTCGGGGTGACGGTGAGGGGGTGACAGTGACGGCAGCTAGCCCTGAGAGTGCTGCCTTGCCTGGAGCCTGTACAAGAACCAATGCCTTTACTCTGTCACCCTCGCTTCAGGGCCCCAAGGTTGAGTGCCTTGCTCTGAGTCGCACTCCGTTAGCCATGGGAAGGGTCAGGGGTTACCACCCAAGTGACCTATGACCTTCGCCCAGGCTGTTCCCCTGGTTCTGCTTCTTTGGTTGAACCTGAAGTGACACACACACCATGAGGTCCGTCTTAAGGCCGGGTCCCTGTGTGGTCACAGTGTGGACACACGCTGTCTGCCCCTGTCCAGGGAGAAACGTCTCCCCGGCCACCGGAGGAAGTCCTGAGCTCCACGCCGGGAGCAGACCCTGCCGCGGCCGTCCTGTGGGCTACTGGGTGTTCTCGTAGCCCGGGGCTCCTTTTTAGCGTTTCTAGATAAAGACCATTTAACCTTTGCCTCTGGCTGCTCAGACGGGCATAGTCCAGTAAGTGATGCTGTAACCAGGGACACACTCTTTGTGCCCAGCCCCAAGGGTTCTGGAAAGTTCCTGAGCAGACCGTAAGCAACAGGAACTCGCTGTTTTCTTGGTCCCTGGTTCCTTGGCTCACACACAGAACCACACCTTCCCCACGTGGGCCCTGTATTCCCGTCCTGTGTGTGCTCGTGGCGGCGGCCAAGGTGGAAACGGCCCTGGCCAGTCTCAGTCTCCTCTGCTGCTCCACGTCCAGCCAGCCACCGTCTTTGCCAGAGGTCGGAAGAGCCCGGTGGCAGCGTCCGTCCTGTGGAAAACATTGCGCGGGTCACACGCCGAGTGAGCGGCTGAGGTCAGGCCCCGGCAGCGGAGGCCGCCTCTGGGCCCCTCCTCTCCTGCTGCCTGCGAGGTCCGCGCCCGGGGGCAGACCCGTGCCCTCTGACCCGGCGCGCAGCCGGCGGGTATCTGAGGGGGGCAGGCAGAGCAAGCGGCCAGACCTTGCCTCCGGTGTTCCCTTGACGTCGGTGTCCCTCCGGTTAAAAGCAACACGTCTCCCCCGGTTATGAGATGCGGTTTTGAGCTTGTTACTTGCACCGTTGGCAAACCCGAGTGGAAAGTTGGCCCGCAGGGTCCAGAGGGAAGGAGCGAAGACAAACACCAAGGCTGGGCTTGGCTTTTGGACCGTGGTTATGAAAAGAATCCATGTTCTAGAATAGAGAACCCTCTGTAAGCCTCAAAACACGGATCCAAAATATAACCAGAAGCCACGTGCGGGGCAAGTCCCCCCACATGTGCTCCTGGGCCTGTTTGTGCAGAATAGACTCAGAGGACAGTTTTCCAGGAGGGGTCCCGACTGGCCTGAGCAGAAGGAGCACGGGCTCTGGAGTAAAAGACTTCAATTTCCACCTCCCTTGTGCGTTTTTTGTTTTTATTTTTCAGGTACAGGTGACATCCAATATTATATTAGTTTCAGGTGCACAGCACAGTGATTAGACATTTAGATACATTACAAGGTGACCCGGTGGCACCATAGTTGCTACCATGTTATGACTCCTCCCCACGCTGTCCTTTGCATCCCGGGGCTATTTGAATGACTGCCGATTTGTGCTTCTTAATCTCTTTCGCTTCTGTTTGGATGCGACTGTGCGAGTCCTGTCATCCCTCAGCCTTCTCTGATGCGTGGGGTTCGAAATGCTCAGCGTTTTTGTAAAGATGAAATAAACGTGAAACAGCGGGAGTGATTGTGGGAGCCCTGGTTTCCTTTTTCTATCTTGTTTTTTTTGTTTGTTTGTTTTTCTCCGGTTTTGGACCCTGCTCCTTATTAATGGCATCTTAGGCCAATTCTTGCCTCCCCGCTATGGGAACGGTGGGTGGGTGTCCCAGGATGGACCCATCGGCACCCTTCCCTGGGATGAAGGGGCCGGTACAGGAGAAGTGGCTCTCTAATCCCACGATGTTCCCGCGGGGTCGCCAGGGGTGTGTCCCTGCCCCGGGGCCGGCCTGGCTGCCCGAGGAGCAGGCAGAGCCGGGAGGGAGACGGAGGGGAGTCTGGATGGAGCCGCGTCTCTCGTTCCAGCCCCGGAGGCCAAGCCCTGACACACTCCCTTAGCTCTGTAAGCGGCCCTGGGTCATCTCTAGCTATAAAGATGTTTAAGCCGGTTCCAGTGGGTTTCTTCCATCTCTGGCAAATGAGGGAGTCCTGACTGTCACAGTGCCCCGCCCGGGGCCAGGGCTCCCACCGGCTTTCTCCTTGGTAAGTCTCTTCTGGTGGCCATCACTGGGGCCGGTCATCACAGCCATCCAGGCTCCTCTCTCCCAGCCCATGGCAGGACTGAGCTTCCCCGTGGTCTTGAAGTGAGGCGTGGCCGTGGGGGTAAGTTTGTACAGG